ATTGAAAATTATTTTATTTCCACTTTGCATGTTAAGTAAATTCCCAACAAGCCGAACCTCGATGGACTTCCTTGACTCCTACTATATTTACGTCCCGAAGCTATTAGTTGATTCCACAATTATTCAATGATGGCCCTCATCTAGCTTATCTTCCCTCAATTTTAGTATCTTCATCAACCATAGGCTTTCAACACTCTCTCTACCTTCGACTATTGGCCACTTTAGTAAGCTCTAGGCTATCAAATTTATATAATCATGTTGTTTGGAACAAAGATTCCTATAGACGATCAGTCCGTTGACCTCAAAAATCTCTAGAACTCTACTGTTGATAGATCTCCAACCCTGCTCCTACTGACCTGTATGTTTCCTGCACACTAAGATGATTCAAGATCATTTGGTCAAAGGAGAAAAAAGGCCCGACAAATGTTGGCATTTTGACGGTCAAGTCAATTGTCGTTACAAGTTGTATATAGAGAATTGGGTGTGGAAGAGACAAGCAAGCAGAGATTTGATCAGTGTTTTGGTAATATTTAAAAATATATATTATTGTTTTACAGGAGAAGAATATTTGCAGAACAAGACATTGTGCGTGCAGTCCCTTGTTGTGTATCTGTTTTATAGGAAAAGAATATCATTTACATCAGAGTTTGTTTTCTTGCACAACCCAAAATATTCTCGGAGATCAAGCTGGGATTCTAGGGGCTTATAAGTTAATTGAAAACTTCATTATGAATATGGGTAAATTCGAAGCCTGCTTCTCCAAGGGAATTTGTTTGTCTGAAGGGCGGTGCCACGTGAAGACCACATGGATGACATCATAGGCAAGGATATAGGAAAACATGTCATTGCCTTCGCTTAAAGAAATGTTAAGGACGAATCCAGCCACATGCTTTCCAGTTGAGAACTTATGTGGTGTTTCCTGGACGCTGGAGTGGAGCCCCTCCCTAGTTCTGTTGTAACAATACGAGCAAGAATTTTTGCTATAATTTTTACTAGTAATATCAATTGAAAACACCTGATATATTTGCTTATTACAAAATTATATTTGTCTAAAAATTCTTTTTTAATCATAACATTTTCACAATAAAATATTTTGCACATAAATTTAATTTTTTTCATATTTTTTAACCACACATTCTCCAAAAAATCATCATTCCAAACCTAATTTCAACTCCTTTTAATAGGCTTCAAACAGGGGCATATAATTTGTTATACACAATTAATAGATGATGTAAATAGTTTTATAAAAAAAGAATATAAGAGAAATTTAGATTTTTTTTACTCAAAATGTTAGATTGATTTATTAAAACAAGAAAGTCAATTTTAGCTGAATTATATTTGAGATGAGATCACTTTGTGCATAAAGATGAAAAAGTTTAACTGTTTTTTTACGAAAAGACAATGTAATAAATCTTTGTTTGTGTTAATTCGCTAATTACTTGTAACTAAACAAGTGGTATTTGTGGAAACAGAAAGAAATTATATTTTGTAACATGAAAGAAAAGACATTGTTATAAAATGAGTAATACTATTTAACATCACTGGTCAACACTAGTCACATTAAATTACAAGTTCAATTAAATATAAGAAATTAAAGCATATTTAATAGGATCTATGATATATTGACTCCTAGATCGATATTCAACACTGATATTAGATAACATTATTCTCTTAGAAAGACTACATATGTTTGAAGTTTGACATTATTATCTACTCACACTTTACTATTTTTTTACTTCAACATTTTGCTTTGATCTTGTTTAGACTCGTAAAAGCTTGAAACTTAACATTATCTCCTAACAACGCATCATGCTTAAAACATTAAAGAAATAGTGCAAAGCACTACTTAACAAAAAGAAAATCATTATCTCTTTTAAAAAGAAAATGCAATGAAAAAAATCCAACAAACCTACTCTCAATGAGTTTCATCTCGTTTGGTATGGCCTTTTCTGCTCAAAATTTTTTTTTTTTGTCCACGCACTTGGTATGAACCATAAATTTTGTTCCAAATACTGGTAATGTCCTTCAACCATGCTCCATGTTAACATTATTCTTTACACTTTGCCATGAGACAACACAACATTGGACAGTTTAAAAAATTAAACAATTTTCTTTCAAATCAATTTTTAACAACACATTAAATGTCAAGAATAATGTACACTTGGAGTGTACATCTTGCATTTTTGAACGTCCTTTGCTTAGTCGCTAGTTAAAATAGCGTACAAAATGGGAAAGATCGCCATGAACATAAATGTAGAGCCAAAATACAGTAAATCAGCAAACTCGACTTCCTTAAACGAACCTTGGATCCAAATAAATAAGGAAAATACTTGTTGTATATCATCATTGATAGATTCCTTTACAACTTGATGAGGTGACAATAAATTGAATTAAAATTATCAATTTTTCTTTACCACTTAAACCGTTAGGCTTATGTAATGTGCGTTAATAGATAAAAGAAAGTGCACAAACTTTTTTTTTTTTAATTTGGTTGGCGATATTTTGATGCAATCGAATCTCTTGAGTCAAAATCTCATCATACTATCTGTTGATAAATAAATCTGTAAATTGTGATATACAGGGGGTGTTTGACACCCATTTTATTAGAAAAATGTGTTTTTGAATAGTGATTGATGAAAAAATGTGTGGTTAAAAAGTAA